AAAAAAAAAAAACCAATTAAAAAATAAAAAAAAAAATTAAAAAAAAAAAAAAAAAAAAAAAAAAAGCCTTACAAATATTTCTGAATTAACGCCACAAAATCTGAGGTTTTGATTTTGAACCACAAAAACAATCGTAAAATCCTAGATGGACTGACCAGTGTGTAAAGATGTTCAATATTGTTTAATTTGAAGACAAACGTATTGAATGCTGAAAGAAGCAGCTATTCATTGGTCATTTAACAATGGCTTTACCAATACATTTTGGCTCAACCTGCCCTTGAAGAACATTCAGAGTTTTGATAATGAGTTAGACGCCCCTGGATTAAAGTGTCATCCGATCGAGTTTATAAGATCCTGATGAAGACACTTTTTAAATCCTTGGTGGCAATGAAAGTGAATGACCGACTGATGCAGCTTCCTGTCTGCAAGAGCACAAAATCCTATCAAAGTCTTTTTGGTCTACTTTTTAGTGCAAACATCTTAATCCATTTTGAAATAAGACAAAACTAACTTACAAGTAACTTTTCAGCAAGATATAGGAGCTTGTTTTAAGTCGATAATTTGCTAATAAAAAGTACTAGTTCCACTGGCACATTATTTCATGTAAAATGGGGAAAATGTCTTGGAATAAGTTAATTAACCTGCCAGTGGAACTAAGACTCTTTTGACACAAAACTCGAGCCTGCTTTATCTCCCTGATGAGTCATTCAACAGTTTCTCCTCTGCGTCTTCAGTGACAGTGAGCGAAGACCTCGTCAGAGAGAACGTATACATATGCAAATAGCCCGCAGACCACCATGGTCTCCCTGTCTCATGTGTGAGTGACAGGGACAAAGACTGAGGGGTTTCAAATGGTCCATCTGATTCCTGAGAGTGTTTGCCTCAGAATGAGCAACATCTGCCCTGCAGAGCGGCCGCCTACAAATGCCGGAGACCGGATCCAGATCCGGATCCGGACCTGCTCTGACTTTCAGCAGATTAGAATGGGGACAATGCAGGCATGTAAGTTTAATTTTTAGAAGTAGTCGGTTTGGATTTTTGTATTAAAAATGCTGTTTTTAATGACTGAGTGTTGATTTTTTTTTTTTAAAGGAAAACCTACTGTAAAAATTACTGCCAATTGTGGAGCAATTAAAACTGAAATGTTGGAAAACTGTTTATGTTTCCTTGAATCAATTATTCTGGTTTCCTTCACATAAAATTGTACAAATATACTTTGTAATGACTGAATGTGTCCATTGATAACGTTTTTTTATACTCAAGTTAAAATTTCTGCCACATTGAGCTGGGTTTGCTCTTCTTCCAAGCATTGGTCAGCATTAAAAGGTTGGAGGCCAGACATCATATATCAAACTATTTCTTTTTAAAATGTCTATTTATGTTTTGTTAGTCACTGAATACCTGACGATTGTGAGTCAACTTAGTCCCAGAATGCGAAACGAGCCTTTGTTGTCCTCGTTACACAGATAAACGCAGCAGAAATGAACATTTCCAAACAGGTTTGATGCTGAGTGACGAAGCTACGAGCAGCTTCTTCCAAAGAATGAAAACTAGGAGTCTCAGTCTGGTGGATATTTTTTGCCTACGTACCATAAAAACGCCTTCCTTGCAGTTTTCTGCTCTCTTCCCGTGGGAGAGAGAACATAAAAATAATAGTATTAACCCTGACATAAAACTTCTGTGGCTTAAGACTTTTATGACTTTAAGTCAAATTTACTTTTGAGTGAGCACTTGTGGCTACACTGAACCTTATGTCAGATAAAAGTCCCAACAATGTTCCGTTACTTCACAGCGATGGATGTGTTCAGCCCCGTGGTGGAGCGCACGGTTACTTTAATCTGAAGTGCAAACATGAGATAATCCCTGTAGATGATTGCTGCCATGTGATCACACAGGTGTTTCACATCTGATTTTCCAGCACTGACAAGCACAGATACACAGGGGAGGACATTTTAATTACAGCGTACATGCCCGGTTACGCCCTTTTGGCAAATGTTTTTTTTTTTTTTTTTTTGGTAAAATATGGACTGTTTGCTTTATTGATTACACTTCAACAGTATTTTGAGGGAAATTAAGATTCTTTTGTTAGTTTGTTTTCACAAGTAAAGGTTTCTGGAACTTGATAAAAAAAAAACAACAACCTCCAATTCATGTAGATTACGGTTACGGTTTCCAAAAAGCCAACAAAGCGTTTGATATGATCCCTTTTAGCGTTTTCATTAGCTGCGATCCCATTATGAGTGTACGTAAACTTGTCAATATTTCTCTAAAGTAAAAAAAAAAAAAAAACACCTACAATTTTGCAACTACGATATTTCCATCAATTAGGAAATGCAAAAGAAATCACTTTTCTTTTGCGTTTGTTAATTTAAAAAAACCATGCCCGGGCATTATCCTCCAACGACTTGTACTTCCTGTCGTCTTCTTTGTCGTTTGCAACAGTGGAAACATCCGGTTGTTGATCACGGGACTCGCGTGATGTGGAAAAAGTGTTTCCAATGCAGTTTTGCGAAACAAAGTAATTTTAACATAGCCAATTTTTTTATTTGGCTGTGTTAAAATTAGTTTTTAAAAAATCGTCATGTCCTAGCACTGAAACGTTTATCGAAAAACATGTTTTTCAGAAATTGGCTTGTTTCTATTATGATTTTTTTTTTTTTTTTTTTTTTAAATGTCAAATTGCGCAAATATTGGTCACTGGAAACACAGCTAGCAACAGAATGAAGGTTTCACAAATCTTCAAGTGTGTTTTAAGTAATCTGAATTCAACGTTTCATCTAAACATTTTGTGGAGAGGAGAGACACCAATCAGATCTCAACTTGAGCATAAATGTCTGATATCCTTTTCCAGTGCAAACCTTTAATTTCTGGTCCACAAACGTCTAACGTACTTTGCCAAAAACAGAGAAATTTGTTCTCTCTCACATGGCTGCAAGAACAAAATAACACCATCCTGCTCCTGAAAACTTGGTTTGCGAGGGTTTCAGTGTTACATTAGCGTTTGAAGGAACGCATGTTGAAGAGTTCTTTGAGTTCTTATGAAGCACTGTATGAAATGTCCTGTCCAGGAACAACTTTGTTCTTGCTCTTTCAGCCTTGAATAAAAGAACAAATGTCTCTGATCATGCATCTATACAAACCACAACTCCATCACAGTTTTCTTTTCTCTTCCAAGTGCCCCAGACGTGGCCACACAAGTGATTTAAAAGTGGTGGAGGTTTCCTCCAATGCTAACATGTCGTAGCATGTTGTCTGCAATCAACAAGAAGCTCAACAATAGAACAAGAATTTAATCACACAGTTAGATTTACCATTTGTTGCACTGCTAACTACTGTCAGGAGAATAAGCCAACAACAATACTTTTCTCTCCTTCTTATGTCTTTAAACTAGTGCTGTCAATCGATCACAAAATTTAATCAGATTAATCACTCTAGCACTAATCATGATTAATCACGACACCATGGAGCTGTGGCATGCTAATGCTACCTAGCATGACAGCGGATAAACAGTTCTCCTGTAACGGAAAGTTGTTTCTCCGACTTTTCCACGTTAAGTAGAGCATGATATGCTAATGAAATAATAAAATAAAACCATTAAAATAAAATGTAGAAACAGCCACAATAGTTTTCTTCTTGTCTGTGCTAATCAGACTTCAGTCCAGATCCAGTGAAACTCCACTCCTTGCTTTGCGGATGTTTGGACTCACACACACACACACACACACACACACACACACTGGGCTTTTCAGTGAGGAGGAGTGACACACAAACTGCTTTTTATTCAGCAAGCAGCTCTCTGAGGATCTGACAGAGCCTCCTGCAGTCACTCTGTGAACACGCTTCTCCCTGACAGACCTCAGCGTCTCCAGTAATTCACTTTCACATCCACAGCAGACACGCTCTCTCTTCCTGGACTGGGCTTTTTAAACTCCTAGCAGGTTGGTCCATCTCTGATTTATTTTATTTTATTTTTCCACATCATGACAGCAGATCATTGAATGTTTGTGATGAATCGAGGGAAAGTTTTTATATGCGCGATTTCACCAATTCTTTTTGTCATACTGCTGCTATTTATTGTTTCTTGTAGTAAATTGAATGAACATCTCAGGATTTTCTTCAGTGTATTAGGAGACTATCATGATGTTTTAGCATTTGAAATAGTGAGAATATATTTAAAGTTAAAAGTCAATGCTTGCTCTCTGTATAACAGGCAGAAACCGTAAAAATTTTACTCGCGAAAATCAGACTGTTGTTTCTGTTTTTAATTTGCCTCTTAATAATCATCCTCAATATGGAGGCAATTAGAGCCATTGGTTTGTGTGTGTGAGCAGGACAGACACACTGACATTTTAATTAGCTCGCCAGTCTGTAACTGTGTAACTGAAACCGCTGTTGTTGTTGTTGTTGTAGGGGGTTTGAGTGTCTGCACTCAAACAACATTTTGTGATTTCCCAAACTCCCACAACACTCTTCATATTTGCTGCACCACAAAATCTCTGTTATGCTGATGTGTAGTCCTTTAGTACCATTTGATAACTGATGTTTTGGACTCAGAACTGCTAACCAAATCCTTTCCCTAATGTACTATTTTTGAATTTCATCTTATTTAGACTATTTCCAGCTGTAAATGAGAATTGGCATCTAGCTGTATTAGCAAATTATCTTGGTTTAACAGTTTTTAAAGCTTTTGTTAGCTGAAGATATTTCAGTAAAGTCATGTTTCATGAGAAAAAAAATAATAATTCAGATTTTTTAACTTATGTTTTGTGAAGGTATTATCTATAGTAATTATCTTTCCTCATGTCATACCTTGCAGATAGTTTGTAGAAATATAAAGAAAGTTCAGCTGATCAGAAATTAGCACGATTTTGCTCATTTTAACTTATGAAAACAACTTTGACTAAAAATGTTCATACCCGGTGGATGCATCTCTAAACTTGCACATTTTAACTTCCAACAGTTTCGCAAGGGGACGCTGTTCTGTTTGTAGCTAGTTTTCTTAGCCAAACAACGACGCTGTATTCGCGCAGAAATGCGCACAGTGAGTCTGACGACCGTATCACTCCGCCAAAACAGCTGCGACTTCTCGTCCTGTTGGGACTAATTCCGAAACGTACGAGACACTGAAAATGTTGGATAATGGCAGTAAAAGAGCTCCTTAACACATTTGTATTTAAGCCAGTAGAGCTGCTTTTAAAGAGGAAACTCAGAAAGATACGGTATGGAGAGAAGTGGACAAAATTATTATTGTAAGCTTGAGGACTGACGGAGCAGCAATGACTTTCCTTTTGATTCTTTTGCAAACATTATTCTCCTCTGTAAATTGACTGTTGTACAGTGGACCCTGGTACTTGCGGTTGTTAGGGACTACAGTCGCCTATTAATAACTAAAATTAGTGATATCTCCTCTGAAAATACTTATAGTTACCTATTTTAATAGTTCAAACAATCGTAATATGCATTAAAACACGGAGTGGAAAACCGTCTTATGATCTAGTTTTCCCTATCTCTGCTCTTGGAGGTACAGCCAATCAGTGCCAAGGAAAATGAATGGAGCTCCTGGATTGGCTGCTTTGCAAACGCTTGGTAATAGCGTGTCAAGCTAGGTTTTAAACCTTCTCATGCTGTATTTTATTTTGAATATTTTTGATTTGGTGTTGTTCCACAGAAAAATCTGTGAATATATGAACGTTGAGCAGAAATATTGAGAATTTGCAGAATATTGAGCTGCTCAATATTTCTGAATATTGAGCAGTTCACTCAGTTTAGTTCACTCTGTTGAAATCCTCCATACACACACAAATGCTTGGGTACAGGTTGGTTCAGAATGTGACACTATTCATATAATGTTTTTAGCTAACTTAAAGTGAAGCAGTCAAAGTTTGTCAAGTTCCAAAACAATTTGGAGTTGCTGATGGCTAGTGCCAATTCAATTTATAACTCATTCTGGTTCTGATGTTTATATTTTCAGTAGTGATTTAGAGTTGTAGGCCTTTGGCTAATGTTCACCATATGAAGTTGTATGCCTGCTGGGAGAGTCTGGCTTAATTACCTCAGCAGAAAATTAAGACAGATGCAGACTCGCTCGCAGCCAAGACAGCAGTCCAGACTGCTAATGAAATAATTTGCCAAGCGAAACCGAGATTTCACAGCGCTGCGAATGTGCGGGAGGAACACAATGAAGACGGGTCAGCTGTGAGGAGGAAAAAAAACACTGGCCCTCCTCCAGTTGTTGTTCACAGCATCCTTCCTCACTCTGTTGATCTGAACCTCACGCTTTATCCTCCGTTCACACACAAACGTTTGAGTAGAGGCTGGTTCAGATTGTGAGGGATATCCAGCCCTCGGTTTTCAGAATAGCTCTATTTTCTGTTAAACAAATGAAAAATGAAATGTATTTTGTCATATCTTCACTGAACAGGTAACTGCTTTTTCACAAGGCTGTTAAATTTGGAGATAAGGAGAATCCTTGCGTTTTTGTTTTATTTTTTTAAATTTGCACACTGCTGCCCCCTGTTGGCAGTTTACACAGCTCAAATTACCATCACTTCTAAATTTACTCTAGGTAAAACAGTCAATCTCACACTCAAAGTAACATTAATCCAATTACACAGGCCATTTGAAATTTATATGTTTGTTTAAGTATTTAAATGCAAGTTAGTTATTTTCTCCAGCATACAAAGATAAGAGACTCAGCTATGGCAAATAAAAACTTTCCACTCCTACACCAACATACTTAAATACAGTTTTGGTTGTTATTTGTTCAAATCCTTATTCAAATTGTTAGATAAGTCTTCATTTTAAAGTTTAAGTGTCTGACTGAAGGGGACAGTGACATCTACTGGCGGAGTTGAGCAGTACAGACAATTGAAAGAATTTTTGCCTCAATTTTTTTTCCGTTGCTAAAAGAGTAGAAGGATGGAGAACAAGCATGAAAATAGAAGTGGTGAGACAGTATTCATATATCACTTTACTGCCAAAACAAGGACTGGATCTTGCACTAAAGACTGAAATTCCACCCTGTTGTTTTTAAGTTTTCTCTTCTGGCTTCAAAATGTGCTTGTTTGATCTCTGTCGCAGAGATACAGGCAAAAGATAGACGGCATAAGACGTACCACTGAACAAAGATTTTGACAGTTATTACAGGAAATCCTTTTAGAAAGAAAAACATTTTGATTACAAATACAACATAATCCCTTTTTTTTAAATCATCCTACAGAACTTCCTAGGAGTTTCTTGAATATTTGAATCCTGTCATTAACATCTGATAAATGTAAAAAAAAAAAAACGCATCAGTGGGGGATCGGTGGGCTGTTTATGTTTGCATCTTCCGTGCTCATGTGGTGTCAAGCTGTTGGGCAGAGGCTTCATGCGCGGCCTGGCCCCTGACAGTAATCGGCCAATGAATAATGAACAGACGCACAAACCTGCCATTGACAGCTGTTTGGGATCTTTGTTTGTGTGTTAGCGCTATCGTTGGAGTGCAGCTGCATGCCTGCCTGTAGCAATTATGCTCTCTCTAAATAAGAGCCAGAGGAGAGGCTGCGTGTGTGTGTGTGTGTGTGTGTGTGTGTGTGTGTGTGTGTGTGTGTTAAGGCACACATGTTTTTTGAACTAAGTGTAATATAAACCAGCTCGGAGACCATAATATGAGCCTCAAGGATTGTGTTGCATGCTCACACACATACACACGCATTGCATTACTCAGCCTTTTTACCTCCACACACTGCAATAACATATTTGAGTTTTACACACACACATATACACTTTCTGAGACACAGTCAGACATATGGCCTGTTCTCAGAGCCCATATGTATTTCCCCCCCTAGCCCCCACATGTGACCCAGGCTTTCCTTGAGATCCTCAAAGGCTCTGTTGTGTTGGGAGTCCCATTCACACACGCACACACACACACACACACACACACACACACACACACAGCCTACATACTCAGCCCCATAAACACTACTTCAAGTTGCCGGTGCCCACAGGCCTTTTCATGGTTAATTTGCTGTTCAATAGGTCAGGAGGAAAAGCAGACACACACAAAGTCATTCTCAAATTCAGAGTCATGCGGCCGTCCCGGCACCAGGATCGGCTTGCTGCATGTTTCCCACACAGATGTGACTCTTGTGATCTACCGGGACCGAGGAACACGAGTGAACCTGCTGTTCACAGTCAACAGGGCTTTTTCTGTTTCATCAGGAACCTGCAATAAAACAGTGTTGTGTTTTTATTATTGCGATATCTTGCACATTTATGGGCACTCCTGGTGAAGCTGCATTTAAAAAAAAGGTCTTAAAATGAAATCATCTGTTCCACTGCAGCAGCTGCATTTCAGCCTGGACATTTTGGAAAAATCCAACCTTTAAGTTTAGAACATTTATTCATCCGGGGAAGAATCTGTCATTAAGAAACACTTAACAAAAAAACAAAAAAAACAAAAAAAAATCCATGATCGCATAAACACCTGTCACGTTTCTTTTTGAATAAGCATTTTTCAGCTCATCAACTTGTGTCATTCAGTTTCTTGGTGTAGAAACAGGATGTCCTTAAAATGTCTTAAATTTGTTAAAGAAAATCTATATTAGCCTTAAAATGTTGATCACAGGTCTTAAATCTTGTTGTGGCAGGACTGTTTAATCACTGTGACTCCAGGAGGTTAAGGCTACTAGTAACAAGCTGCTAATACTTGCTAGCTAGAATATAGCTCTGTAGCTCGCCAGTTCCAGGTGAGAAACACAAAGCTGCTGCAAAGAGCCACAGAAACTTAAACTTCACAATTTTTTCCCCCCTGTACATCTCTGTCATGTTACAGGTCTTAAATTTTTATTCATAATAGTCTTAAAAAGTGATTGACTTGACTTAAATTTAGATTGATTTTTTCAGCAATAAACAAAAATCCTGTATATAAGAAAGCACCTGGTGTTTGTTTCACATCCAAATGCCCTGGAAACCAACACTAGAGTGTGTGGTGCCTTACATTCTTTGAAATTCAGGACACTTTTGCAGTTTTCTGGAAGTTTGTCCCAGATTTGTGGTGCATAGAAGCTGAATGCTGCTTCTCCATGTTTGGTTCTGGTTCTGGACGGCACTTAGAGGTACAGGACATATACGTAGTTGCTGCTCAGCTTCTCCTCATTTCCAAACAGATAGCTGCTCACGGACCCTCGAGATTGGTGCAGATGAACCAGTAACAAGAAAAATATCAAATGTTGTCGACTTTTCAGTTTGATCTTTGCGTCTTATGGAACATTTTAATGGGATACAAAGAGGATGTTTTCTCAGTCAGCTTTGTTATCTGCTAATCTAAGCAGGAAAATGATCTCGTCTGATGTCTATCTCACATCAGCGGGACTTTTCAGCTGTGCAGCTTATCTCTTCCTCGTCCTTCTGTTTGGTGACATTTCTCCGTTCCTTCCTCTTTGTCCTCATGCAGGTGCTGGGTTCTCCTGGTGATGACCTCAATCCTGTGCCCTGGCAACACTTACGCTGCGATGAAGGACCTCTCCTCGTCATCTTCTCCTCTCACCACCCTCCTCCACTACTCTTCCTCCAAGCCCTCCGTCGTGCCCTTCTCCTCTTCGGTGGGTCCCGCCTCGTCGCCGGGGGTCTCGCTGTCAGCCGCGCCGCTCTCCAAGCCGCAGCCGTTCTGTCTGCAGACAGGTCCGCACCTCATAGCCAGCATGCAGCTGCAGAAGCTCAACTCTCACTACCAGAGCCTCGCCTCGGGGGTCTCCGCCGGCCACTCGGCCCCCGGCGGGGCTCAGAAAACCTTCGGGGGCTCGCCGCTGAGCACGGCCAGCCCTCTCCTGGGGCCCTCCGGAGGCCTCGGCAGCGGCGGGAACATGGGAGTGGGGATCGGTATGGCAGGCCAAGGCTCCGGAGCGGCCGGAATTATCGACTTTGACCCCGTGGACGAGGAAGTTCTCATGTCTCTGGTGGTCGAGCTGGGTTTGGACAGAGCCAACGAGCTGCCGGAGCTCTGGCTGGGACAGAACGAGTTTGACTTCATGTCAGACGTCCCGGCTGGATGCTGACCAGCAAAAAGAAAAGGACAAAAACCCCGCACAAACATTCGGAGACAGCGGAATTGATCGACAAAGGGAGAGAAGGCTTCTCTCACTGTTTCGTTTTTCTCTCCCCTAACTTTCTTGGTTGATACATTCGAGGAGAGAGTTCAAGAGATTCACGGCACCTTCCTGTTTCTGCTTTACTGTCATGGTGTTACTCGTGGACGGGAAATTCTACAATAAAGGACCTCTCTCTTTAATTTGTTTTGCGAGTTTGTTTCACTGTGACGTTCTCACTCGAAGAAATACCCAAAGCACATGCGGAGTATGTCCTCTTTTGTTCACCATTGCATCTCTGGGCCTTAATAAAAACCAGTTAACTGATGCGAGACGACTTCAAAGAAACACACGAGTCGACCTCTCAGAGGCCGAACTCTAAAGACGAGTAAAACGCACCTGTCGGACCTGGGTCAGCGCATAAAGAACGTGAAGAAAAGTGAACCAGGACTTCTACAAAAAAGGACGACAAACACTACGCTTCCTGCTTTCTTAATAGACAATATTGAGCCTCCGCTCTCATGGAAAAGAGACTTCAGCCTCTTTGGCTTCACAAAGATCTGATTGTCTGAGAACTGGTTATCTCCAAATACTTCTTTTTTTTCTTTTTGTTTGAATTTAGATCAAGAAGTTGTGCCCTTGTTACTTAAGACAGCGGCTGATATCCATCAGGTTAGTCCTGGACAAGGGAACCTTCTATAGTCGCTGTTTTTGTGAACATAATGAATCAGATTAAGGGACGTGGAAGCTTTAGGAGCATGTGACATGAATGCGGTAAAAATATGTGGAGCACAGCGCCACTGAAACAACTGGAGCCTTTTGGTCAATTCTTTGCCAAGTTAAGCTAATGCAAAGCATTTAATCTGTGGACTCAAACCCCAAAATGTTCGATTCACACACCTTCAGCGTCATGGGTTTTCTACTTTACTGCTTGGATAACTTTGCTAAAACGGCTTTTATCAGCTTGTGCTAACTGTAAAATCACTTTCCTTCATGTTTCTGAGGAGGTAGCATGCTGCTTCAACAGTATGTGTTTACACACCTTTGACCCAGAGCAAAAGATGTAGAGCTAAACTGTCACAGTAAATGTCAAAATCAAGAAAAAAACTGTTTTTGGCTTTGATTTGGTGTCATATAAAGACCTTGCAGGATTAATACCTTAATCGTGCTTTGTAGCGATCAATGACGTTTTACTCTGGCGGGAGCAGCCAACAGCACACACTGTTATCTAGAGGACTGAAACCACTTGCCTGTTGCTGCACAGATCTCTCATCCTTCAGCCGTTGAATCGCCGACCTCAGAGGGCGTCGTCCAGTGAAATCGCAGCGGCTGCGCCTAGTTCACTCAGCTCAAAGTAAATGGGATCTGTTAAAGTATGTGGAGAACTAACACTCGACTCAAACTTCCAGAGTTCTCTGTTCTTTCTTTGTTTTTAAAAATAAAAGAAGTTACGATGATTTTATGGCAGATATTTCTGGAAAAACATTGGATGGATGGATGGATGGATGGATGGATTGGTTGACGGACGGATGGATGATGAACGGACCATTCAGCGGATGGACAGCTGTATTGATTGACAG